GGGGGTGGGGGTGGGGTGAATTTTTATGATTCTGGTGAAAATATACTGGAGATAACTTAGGTATTAGTTTCGGGTCGGCGCAAAGGTGTGTACTCAATTAGTTGGGTCGAGATTGTCTGGACGAGTCAGCAAAACATTCATAGAACGAGACTTCCGATTTCCTTGCCAACGAAATGCGTGCGCTGCTACGAAGAAGTGATTTGAAGCAGTGGACAATATTGTTGTTGTTCAGTCCAGGAAGAAAATGTATAAACTCTATTAACTCTTTAAGTACATAGCTGACGCCTAGCATTTCCGTTCAGCAGCAGACCAGAGTTAATTTTTCAAAACATTTCGAACTTACTTTGCCTTCTTTTTTAAAGTTCCAGATTATTTCATAAAAAGAAAAGAAAATTGCGAAGTCTGTATAAATGCCGAAGTTGCAGGTATCGCCTTAGTTTTAAAATACCCCAAAACCATCGCGTTGTCAAGATTTGTGAGATGACCAGGATGCACGCCCACAGTGAGTTTAGCAGGTCATGGTCTCATTGAGAAATTCGCTTTAGAATGATTCCAAAATACGGGCAGACTACATTCTGCTGATTTTCAGGTGGAGTGGAATCGGGTGGCAAGGACAAAGTGTTGCACTATTCTTTAGATTGGAGTAGGTTTGAAAGTGTTCAGGTTTACATAGAAGAAAGTTATCAAAGCAGCTGGAACGAAATTAAAAATGTTGAGACCGTTCTATGTTATGGTGAAGAAAAGTAGTTAGTGCGTTTTTAGTTTGACGAAAATGTGATTATTTTGTTGTTTTTAGATCTTCCGCTTGCTTTCGGTTCTACTGTAAGTAAAACTTTTATTATGAAACAGGAATAAAAACACCGGTCCATATTATTATAATCCTTGTCGAAAGAGAAATCCAAAATAAAAGACAACACACTTCCTTTTGTCTAATCGTGAATCCAGATCATGAAGTCGAGAATGTCTGCCGGACAATTGGAAAAAAAAACCCGAGTCGTCAGTTTCTAGTCTGACCAAGTGAAGATGTACATTCAAGTATCATTGCAATTCCAAGGTATCCATACTTTATATACAATATTGGGAAAAACAAGTTGGTAAGAAAATGACGTCCAAAATTTCACTTATGCAGCCATAGAGAAAGGTCATCGAACAAGTTGCGCACGATCGTTTGACAAAAATGGTATGAAGAACGAACAACAGTGGTTTCAGAATTCAGCAAAGACAAATAAGGATGTCTGTCCGCTAGCATGAACAGAGCTTGTTTTGTTTACAGAGTTCGGAAGCGGTATGTTGAACACAACTGCATAATGTTCTTCTCTGTCCTTCCGGGCAGGTTTGTCGAAGAACGTTCAGCGTAGACGCATGCACTAACGACAATATTTGATCCCTGCTTAGACAATAATTCTTCCCTGAACAAAGCATCGCTAACAAAAGGAGGAGGTTCGTGTTTAAACTTTTCAACATGCACATTTCCGCAGGAAAAGATGCAAGAATATCAAGCTCTGTGTATTTAAAAGATTATGTTTCTTCCCTTGAACAAACACTGCACCATCCGATCATAAAAGTACACATTCTTTTAGACACTTTAACCTTTATTAATTCTATTTCATGTTTACTTTGACCGAACCGGCTGCCGAAGCATAACAATGTTCGTTTTAAAACAGAGTCGAGTTCGAGTAATAAAATACGTCCCTGCGTCAGTGGTGTAATGAAGACGTTCTTTGCTTTATTCTCCAATGACCAAGTCAGAAGAAAATTAGATTTCGGCATGAGCATGATCTTCAAATTCTAAACAAGGCAGGTTGACACTGATATGCAAACTCACAGCGACTAGCCTTTTAATTATCTAAACAAAGCCAATCCGAGACATAAC